GTCAGACTCGAAGATCAGAGAATTAGAGAGGCAACACTAGATTCGGACTTGAAGATGAACCACTCATTTTATTATCTACCACAGCATTTTGTATGTCCACTTACTATGATTATTACTTCTGGTGAATCTTGCATAAACATTCAAATTTTAGAATAGTAAAAAGTTAATAAAGGAATTCATGAGAACCTTCCTTTTTTCTTCCCTCAAGCTAAGCATGTTCCTCGGTCATTCTTTGCTTGGAGATGTCTTATGGTTAATAAGATTCCGTGATCTTGTCTTCCCTTTATCTTTTCAACAGCACGGTTGGAATATCGACATCGTTCCTCAGAGGGATAATGATACAAATAGTCCGTGAATTTAGACTCAATATGTATTGTGGTCTTTAAATTTTTAATTTATTCAATATGATCTCTAAACTTTTGTCCAATATGCAATATGGTCCCTGAATTTTTAATTTGTTCAATATGATGTCCAAACTTTTAATACATATTAGAAGTGAGCAAGATGAACCGACCGAACTAGGAACCACCCGAACCGAACCAGACCGACCAATTCTGGACGGTTCCAGGTTCCTATGTTTGGAACTGGTTCCAGGGTGAGAATCGGGCCGACCCAACCAGACTAAACCAACTATAATTTTTTTTTTAATTTCTTAAGAAACCCAAATCTAATTATAATCTACCTTTCCCAATTCCCACTTTCCCTTCCTACTCCCCTTTCCCTCTCGCCACACCCCTCTCTCGCTCGACGTCGATGCATTTCCCTCTCACCTCACCCCTCGCTCGATGTTGACGGCGCTGGCTGTCACTAGATTCTTAGTCTCAAACAGACAGCCCTTTCCTGATTTCTTACAATCAATAAGTTTTTCTCGCTTGACTTTCTGTTGTCTCTGCTTTTTCTTAGATTTCGATCGCTCGTTTCCGAGATCTGAATGCTTCATTTTTGTCGCTTAGAAGTAGATCGATGTTTTGGCTTCTGGTTTGCATTGTTTTGGTTCCGTCCTTCTGCGCCTCTCTTAATCTTCGCATTACCTTCTTCATTGAGCAATGACGAGGTTTGCATATGGATATTTGCGTAAATTACAGAGTTTGATTGACTCTGCGAGCTGATACTAATTGATTTGGATCATTTAAGCTCCAGATTGTAGTGTAATATTACCTCGGACCTCAAATTTAGTGCTTAGATTACACGCATTATGCTGATTCACAGACTTCTTCAGTTCAGTTTTTCATTTTTTTAAATTCATCTATGTGCTATTTGCGGTTATGTTTTTCTCTAGCAGTGTTATGCAAGTTGTTTGCCTATGACTTGAAAACAGGCTATGCAAGTGTCGTACCATCTTTTATTCGCATTGTACCTCCCTGAGATGGCTCATAAGAGCAGAACCTATCGCTATAAGGCGTCATGTGGAAAAACGCTCTAGTATCAATTTTTCATGCACTGCAGTCACCATGTGATGAATTGCAGACGACATGTCTTATGTGCTGCTGTCATCATCCTTCTTTGTACTGGAGGATGATGCATCATCTCGCTTGTCTGGACCCACACTTTTGGTTCTACAATCCTTCTTCAAGTGTCCAAGCTTTTTGCACTTCCAACACGTTATTTCCGACCTATCTCTATTTTTAGATCTTCCTCTGGACTTATTCCTGGCACCAAATATGGATTTGGATCATTCACTGTTCCTTCCTTTTACGAAAAGAGCCTCTTGAGTTGTACTATCAGAACTTGCTCTCCTCATCTCCTCATACAATAATGCAGCTACAACGCCCTCAAAGGACAAAACACTAACACCAGTGCCAATCAAAATAATTATATATTTCCATGAATTCGGCAGTGAACACAACTAAGTATGTGTTCTATCTTCCTCATCTAGATTGACATCGATCGATGTAAGTTACTCACAAATAGTATTAAACTCGTTTAAGTGTGCAGAAAAAGAATCACCTTCACTCATCCGAAGGTTGTACAGTTGCTTCTTCAAAAAAGAGTCTGTTCATGAGCGACTTACTCTAATAAAGACTTCTCAGCTTCGTCCAGAAATCCTTCGCCATCTTCTCATAAGTCACAATCACCAGTTATTAGCAAGGTATAGCCAAATCATGCTTCGCGCCCTCCAATCGCTGTTATTTCAATCCTTCAATTCAGTGGACGTGGAGTCCTTCGACTTCCCCTTGGTATGCTCCTCGGGTTTATCATCTTTTAACACATACCCCAAATCTTTGTCCACGAGCAAAGCCTCCATCTTCAATTTCCATAACTTAAAACCTTTTTCTCCGAATTTCTCTACTTCAATCTATGATTGACAGCCGACATCTTCCCAAGATTTGATTTTTTCATATATCTCTTTATCAAGAAACTCTAACCTCACTTTACCAAAAAAAAAAAAGAAACTCTAACCTCAAATCTTGCTCTGATACTAGATGTTAGGAATCGGCGCACAATCATAAGGAAATAGAGAGTAAAAGCAAGAAAGAGAAATTGAGACACAAGATTTTTTTCCCGGTTCACCCTTAAACTAGGGTTCTGTCCAGCAGACAATTCCACTATAATTCACACCTTGCATCTCTCTGTTACATCTCTCAATTATAAGAGAAAGAGAATATATATAGACATTAATTTGATTCAAAATAGGAAATATCTTTCTAGAAAACCTACTCCAATTAGGAAACCATTCAATTAGGAAACCTATTCAAAATAAGAAATTTAATTGAATTTAAACAGAAAAACATTCATTTTACGGGCTCAAATTATAAAAACCTTCTAGCGGCTCGGAAGCACTGCCCCCGCGACCCCCACCTGCTCATTGGAGAGTGGGACCTCCGTGCCTTCCTATCGATAGAAAATATGAACCATACCCCAACAATAAGCTATGTGAAGAAGTGATGCCTGTGCTTATACACACATTATCAACTTGTTCATTTATCACATGACATGCTCATATAAAATATGTCAATATTATGTTATCATCATATATTAAATGTTACATTTTATAAATGTTACCATGTAAGGTGTGCAGGGGTGCGTGTTTATTATTATTATTATAGTTTTATATTTTTTGTTGATCTTTTCTGTGCTTTTCTTCAAACGGGTGCCTCTCCTTTAGATTGATTCTTGAGCTAGCCAAATTCTGATGGAAGGACAAGAAAGTATCCGATGCGTTCGCCATTGATAGGTTCAATAATTACTAAGTCAATCAAGAGCAGGATTTTTCGAGTCTTGAGAGAGGGCACACTAGGTTCACACTTGAAGATGAGACAGGTTTACAAAGTTTGATACATTAGTAATGTGACGAATTGTCATTCAGTGTAAGATATGACCACTCAGTATAATTTTAACTTGTAACTTACCACCTCATTTAGTATGTCCACTTACTAAGATCTACAATTTAGGTGAGTGTTGCAAAAATTTCAGATTTTAAAGTAATAAAAAGTTAAAACTGTGGAAATAATGAATTTATAGGAACCTATCTTTCTTCTTTCCTCAAACTAGCGCTGTTCCTCTTTCAACCAACAAAAAAAAAAGCTAACCTTGTTCCTCATACATTCTTTGCTTGGAAATGTGTTATGGGTACCGGATGCTTGTACTTTTCCATGTTCTTGTTCCCACTTTATCCATTCTTTGCTCAAGGTAGTTGCATTTTGGCAGTAAGATATAGTAAAAGTACCCAGTGAAATAGGTATAAGTATATTTGTTCGATATTCTTGGACAACCCATCTTCGTCATTGTTGATTGTCATATGGTTATTCAATTATCAACATATTGATGTCAACTAATAGTGATGAAAGTATGTAGCTTATATAAACTAGACAACGAAGAGTGAGACAATGCTCTTATATTATTTTATCGACCGGTTAATTTTCGAGGGGCTATCTCATTATCTCAGGCAAATAGCTAAGATCTCAATTCAACATACCAATGCCGCACAAGGCAGCAATCCCTGCCGCAATATATGATTTGCAGGTTTATAGAAAACTGCGCTTTGCTTATGAGAAGAGGCCTTACTTTATCATTGTCAAAACTCCCATTTTATGATGGCTATTGCGTATAGTCTATCGGATTATTGTGTTTTGCAATTGCAATATCAACCGGTAGATCGCTCTTTCGTCTAGAGAAATTATCTGAGAACGAACGATGGATGATGATGTGGTGAGGAGGCACCGGTTAACGATATCCGTGGATGAGGTACGTGAGGATGAGGGCTAGCAGCATCAGCACGAACGCCATTCCTTGGTCTATTGAAATACGTGCATGTCCAACACCAACAACCACAATCGTTTTTCTTTTTTTTTTATGTTTTTTGGGTCAAATATCATTTTTACTCTCACACGACACAAATTTGCCATTAACTATTTAAAATCTCAATAAGCTGAATAGAAATATAAAACCAACAATATACACATCGCAACGACTATTCTCACTTGAAAAGCTTAAAGCTAAAATTACTCCAAAACGGTATTTCCAAGAAATGTTTTCTTGATGAGAGGTTATCATAATCAAACAACTCGATTAATCTATTTTCTTGTGCTGAAAATCTTTTACGAAAGATATCTCGAGAAAGGATTTGCTTTCAATCTTAACAAAAGAAGAAAAGATATTGCATAGCCTTGGTTTTAGCGTACATGAGTCTTGTCATACCTTACTGTGGACATGCAAGTGAGTTTGGAGAACCATTCCCGTGAATATAAAGTGCTTTGATATTTGGAGAATGGTTCTTAGTTTTCGGTGAGTACTGTTAGATACGGAAGTTTCGTCTACACACACATTTTGCTCAGTGTGGTCTCTTGCAATTGATAGGTACAACATATAAAACCAAATGTCATTGCTCCTACGAAACATATTAAGGATGTTGGCTTGGATCCAATTGAAGATGTACAGAAGATTCTTTGGAATGGTTTTCACATTTCAAAAACTTGCAAAAAGGAGATCGTTGTTTCTTATTTCCTTCTATCTAAAGGTGATCTGACAGATTCTATCTACATGGAGGTAGAGCTTAGGAGGTTGTTTTTTAGAGATAAATCTGCCCGTTGTAATCAAGCTCCGAAAGATGGTCGGACCTTGATTGCTGCTTCAAGGTATTGAATTCAAATTATATGAAACACTCGCTGCTTTTGTTAAATTCGCAGTAGGAACATATTAATTAAGTCTGGGATTTTATTGTGCTGAACAGCACACAAGATCTTCGTCGCGAGAGGCAAATTCTCACCAAGCATTAGCAAAAAAAGCTCACCAGGAAAGATAGAGAGATGCTCTTCCAAACTTGGGGGATCGGTTTGAATACAAAGCATAGAAGTTTGCAGTTAGTGCACCAGTTGTGGTCCGACAAAGAAGATATGGACCATGTGGCCGAGAGTGCCAAAATTGTAGCAAAGCTTGTCAGTTTTGTTCAGCTAGAGGAAGCTTGCAACGAGATGTTTGGCCTCAACATTATCTTGGCAATCGAGCACAAAATTTAATTAGTGGAAAAGCACTATGATGTCTTTCTTATCAAGCTTTGTTTTGGATACTTTTACTTTTGCATAATGGTAACGAAGCGTTCTTCCAACTGTCTGAGATGGAATGATTTCTTTTGAACTGGAAATGTATGGGCAAAAAGTACACCACAAGTGCCATAACTTGTGTACGGTGATCACTTTGGTGCCATAACTTTTTTTCGGATCACTTTGGTGCCAAGTCGGAGGAAAATCGATCACTTTAATGACTCCGGCCAAAATTCCGGCCAAAAAGCTGACATGGCATTTATATTTAAAAAAAATGGTCTGACTTATACACGGTGGAAATTACGTGGTTTTTTTTTTAATTTTTTAATTTTTAGAAAAATAATAATAATTAAAATAATTTTTAAAAAAAAACAAAAAGGTGTTGCGCGCGGCGAGGAGCCCTCGCCACTGCTGCCATAGCCACCACCGGGAAGGGCCGGCGGTGGTGGGCGCAGTGGTCGGCGAGGTCGCCGGCCCTTGGCCGGGCCTGGCGACCCTCGCCGCCCAACGAGGGCCGGATCCGGCGAGGCGAGACCTCGCCGTCGCGACCCGTGCGACGACGAGGCGCGGCGTCGCCTTCGCCGGGCGAGCGAGACCTCGCCATCGCGACCCGTGCGACGGCGAGGTCTCGCCTCGCCGGATCCGGCCCTCGCCGGCGAGGCGAGGGTCGCCGGGGGTCGGCGAGGGTTGCCGGGCCGGCCGGGGCCGACGACCCTAGCCGACCACTGCGCCCACCACCGCCGGCCCTTCCCGGCGGTGGTGGCTTGGCGGCAGCAGCGGCGAGGGCTCCCTCGCCGCTGCTGCAGGGCTTTTTTTTTTTAATTAATTAATTAATTAAATATAATATAATATTTTAAAAAAATACACGTCAGCGGGCTAAACGGCGTCGTTTTTTGTTTTTAATGCTAACTGGACCTCTCCGGCGAGCCGTGTCAGCGCCACATCGGATTTCCGGTGAGCCACGTCAGCATTGGCACTAAAGTGATCGATTTTCAAAAAAGTTGGCACCAAAGTGATCCAAAAAAAAAGTTATGGCACCAAAGTGATCGCCGTACACAAGTTATGGCACTTGTGGTGTACTTTTGCCAAAATGTATGTGTGATTTAAATGCAGGTCGTTGTACAAAAGCTTTGTAATTTACTCATGAACATTTGAGGGCTTGCAGGTCCTCTCATCGATCTAGGCTCTTCAACATAAGTATTGGTGCCTGATTGGTGTTAATTGGACTAATATAATAATGTATCTATTTCTTCCATCCTCTTACATGTTTTCTTTATTTAAAAGCTTGTGACTGATTAAATTTGTAATTTAGCTCATGACTCATGCAACACGCGCTCATTAATTGTGACTCCTTCAACTTCATAAAAGCCATTTTATTTTTTTCGCTCTCGTGCTTTTCTGACCTCATTGGATTGAGTATAGGCTGACATAGATGCCTAAGACTGAAGAAGGAATATGTTGCATTAGATGAATGGTACCTTATCAATTCATCACATAAGATAACAGTTACACGAAATTATTTGTTCGCACACTTAGAGAGAGATGGCGGGGTGGGAGGATCAGACATATACATATGGTCGACTCCAAAGATCATTGTAGTGGCTTGTATTCAAAGAAGAGCATCCTCGTAATGACTGTAGGAAACAAGAAACCACTAAATAAGTAAGCTTCACATAAACACATGCAGAAATTTCTTAATAGTACTCGTAACGGGAAAGAGAAAGCAAACCTTGTTCCTATATGAGAAGCTTCATTTTTTTAACTATGATATGGTAAGTAAAGGAGAGTTCTTTACTAGTGTGAAAAGAATCCTGTTATCTCTTCTTCAGCGTCTTGAATGTGAGCTGGGTGAAAGGCTCACCCGACGTGTTTAGGCTATGGGGAGTAAGGTTGGTTCCAAAGGTTACTTTTGAATTCAACATTAGGTTCCACAAAGGTTAATTGAAACTACCCATGTGATTTTGTGTTTTTTTTTTTTTTTGGATGGAATGATTTTGTGTTATTTAGAGGACTCACTGTAGCCTTCATAGTTTCTTAATATGTATTGACTTGATCCGGTGAAATAAGCCAACGTAATTCTTATTCGATAAAAATCACAATCGTTGTTTTGAATCACCAATGAGAAATTATCGGGTCTATAAAAACATTTTCATCATCATGTGTAAAGAACATGTTCCATACCTGTCGTCGTCATCCGCAAATTCAGGCCTCCTGGTGTCCCCTTCAACGGGCAGATCGAGCCTGAGTTTTATCATTCTCTTTAATAACTAATAAGTAATTATTGAAATTATCAAGTGTATAAAAATATGTGTAAAGAACATGTTTGAGATTTAATATTGGACCATACCAGTTGTCGGGCCTCTTGTCATCCTTGTCCTCCTCCTCGTCCATAGATTCAGGCGTCTCGGTGTCTTCTATTTGTACAGATACACCCTATGTTCTATTTCCTTCTAGAGATGGTCAACAAAATCCTGAGCACCCTTTTGACTACCACAAAGATATTCTCCAATTCCTTACACTCGTTGATCCCCTCAACATCTTCCATCCTATCGAGGCGCCTAAACTCCAGTTCTTTGAGGTGTAGCATTGCTCCCTGTTCAATATTCACTTTTCACAAGTTGTTAAATATATCTTGAATTTTATGTACTCGGTCCGGTTGATGACCCGACCCGACATATATTTTTTGCGCGACCCGAAAGTGGAGAAAAAATTGAGATTTGATTCGTAACGCAGAAGGTTGGACCGATAGGCCCAACCTGGAGTAAGCGAATAAATCTCCTTGGCGGATCGCCCAAGCTGGAGCAAGTGAACCAACGTTTCGGGGGGTTCGGGGGCTATGCCCCCGAGGAAAATTTTTTAGAGCACTATTTATACCGCGGCTAGATTTTCTCATTGATGTAGAGTGAATTTTGTTTTCGGAGAGTTTTGTGAGCCGTGAGCTTTTGTCGTTGTTTCGACTTCTGAAAACTGTACTCTCTTTGATTATAGTAGAATCTTGTCTTGCCTCACCCGTGGACGTAGATCACCTTGGTGATCGAACCACGTAAATTCTTGCGTTCTGTATTTGTTTTTCCGCATCTGTTTTCAACACAAGCTTAGGCAACTTCCAAATCTTCAAGATCTGGAGGCTGGGAAACCCATCTTTGACGAAGCTCATGCTTTTGCATAGGAAAGAGTTGGCCAAGAGCCTGAGCGTCCTCAGGTTCCTCAGTAGACGTCCCAACTCGGGCATCACGTCCGTTTTCACCTTCGAACCCGACAGTGTCAAAACCCTAAGCGAGACAGGCAAAAGCTTTGTCCAGTTGGGTTTGTTGAGTTGGCCCAGCAAGTAGAGCTCCAATAGGTCGTCATGTTGTTCAGCCAAAGACAGTTCCGGCAATGGGCCCGTCTTCGATGTCGCGGGATAGGCTCCTTCCGCGCGCTTGGCTTTTTTCGTGGCCTTGTCTTCTTTAACGGGCTGGGCTTCTTTCGCGAGCTTGGCTACTTTTGTGGCTTCTTCCGTGGTTCTTTTCACGAGCTGGGCTTCTTCCGCGGGCTTGGCTTCTTGGATCACCCCAAAGGTCAAGGACTGGAGATTGGTGAGCCTCGAGCTAATCTAATCGGCTATTGTTTTTCCCGCAGCGCCTGGGCTGTCGTTAACCTAGTGTTGCAAGAAAAGCTTGAGGGTGGTGAGCGTGGTCAAGCTGTTCATGTGGCCCGTCATTGCGTTCTCCTTCACTTCACCGATAACCAGCCCGCTTAAGGTTTGGAGTTTAGTCAAGGCCATGGCATTGTTCCTGCAAGCCTTGAGGATCTTCTTCAGGTCGACGTAGAACCAGTTAAGATGCAGGTGCCTCAAGTTCCTAGCCTACCACAAGGAACTCGGCAGGGAAGTGATGTTGGTGTGCTTTATGTCGAGAGTCTCGAGATGGTGCAGATGTGCAACGGCACTCGGGAACGTATCCAGCACCGTGGATCTCAATCCTAGGTACCTTAGGAGCACCAGCTTGCGGAGCACACCTTGCAAGGATGGCTTATACATGCCCTCTAAATCAAGTACCCTTAGCAAGCTATAGTGAGTCTCCGACGTCATCTTCCTAAGGAACGTGCTGAGGTCTTTGGTGAGCATGCCTCTCCTCAGGTAGAACGAGAGAAATGAGCGGATGTGGCGGAGGTTCAAATCAGGGTAGCTGCTATCACGGATGTCTGTGACTATGTTTGTGTGCTCCGCAAGCCACCGAATCTTGGTTCTTTCTCGCGGTTGGGCTGGCGACTGTTGTTGCTAGCTCGTTGGGTCACGGCCGTTACCGTCTTTCGACTCACTAGTAGCATGTATGTGGACGAACCCCATGCTTGTGGCAATCGGGCGGATCATTTCATACAGAGGGGTGAGCATTCTGCAAGCTTTGGGGGACCCATCCGCCTTCCGGCCCACCACATGGATCACATTCCTATCCGCGAGCTCCAGAATGAACGTCTCTCCTACATCCTCAGGCAGCCTTTTCCTTTCCCTTTCTATGTCGTAAGAATGCGAATCCAATAAGCCCTCGGCCAACCACAGCCTCACTAGCCTTCTTGTCGGAATTGGGGATCCTACGGGGAACAAAGCCATGTAGATGAAGCACGGTTTTAGATGGACCGGCAATTTATGGTAACTCAATTGTCGTATATCCGATAATGTCATCATAGAACCCTCTTCCACCAACGCTGCTGCACGTTTGTGCTCTCCAGCATTCGACAGAATCCCGCCGAGTAAGGATATATAGAGCGGAGAGCCACCAGACTTTTCTAGGATATACTTCTCCTCTTTTGAGAGTTTCTGACAATCGCGTGGTCCATGTAACTTCCAAGCGAGCATCTTCTGACTTTCTTCATCCTCCAAGTATTGTAGCCTGATCGGCCCTTTCCCTGATGTATCCATGTGGCTATCTTGTCTTCCTGAGTCGTGGTAATTGTTGGATATAT